AGATCACAGTCCAACTGAGCAGCAGCCAAGCCAAGGTCTTTCTCTCCCTCAATCTATAATTCTAATTGCGAAGCTTGCAGAAATCAGGGACTGGTCTGAAGTCTTTGATGATCCCATCTTGAGAGAGCATGTCTTTCATTCGTATGAACGCTTGCATCAGCTCTACTCCGATCTCGTGGTCGCTCGAGGTAGAGTCCATAGGCAGACTTCTTAGGATGTCTTTGCCCTCCTTCCTGCTTTCTTTTGAAGACCAATAGTAGCCGCAAAGCACCATTCTGCGCGCTTAGAATAAATGAGTGAATTTCCACAATTAGTATCAAAGTGTCTATGAACATTAATAATCTCGTTCCTACAGCTTACAACTTTCATCGTACTGTGCTCTCCAAAGAGCATCTCTTCCTCTCGCAAGCGTTTGGATTCACCACATCCTAACGAGCTCTTTTTTGCGCCATACAGTAGCTAGTCTAGTAAAGCATTAGATGGTTCCCCAAGGGCTCAGCCTTTGATTACAAGTATAGCTTAGCTCATAGCCTCCTTACCAATGAGACAAGGCGGTAAAGCATGACCGTTCGGAAACCTCCGGAAAACCTCTGGCACATCGATGCCAGGCACCAAAAAAGTAGACCCTCGCCAATGAGGAAGCCATTTGTCATGCTATTTTTCTATATAGAAGAGGCCCCACCGAAGTGATCGTAGTAGCGGGCCCGTCCCCATCATTATGGATGACCTACCTCCCTTAGATCTGAGATCTGTAAGCCTCCTCAGCTTCTATATGAATAGGTCTACTTCACTTGTTATAGGATGAGCTCTCCCGGCCCAGCCTCATCAATAGGCAGCTCCCTGCGGACTTAGCAACATCGGTCTCTGAGAACCATCTCATCGGAGGCTGAGCAGGCTATAAGTTCTCATCGTAGATCGACCCTCCCCATCCGAATTCGACAATGATCTATTGGCCGCACCGGTTGAAAAAGAAAAGCCCCTAGCATCAGTGAGTCCAGCCCTTGGTCGACGCCCACTGACTCCGCTGGTGGGAAGCCCCCTAGCCACTAGTCAAAAAAGCCTATCTATTTCATTCATTGATGGCGCAGATTCGGTCCCCAGCGGACTGAAGCCACCCCTCCTACTCTGAGATTGACCCCCCTCTGATAAAGACAATTCCTAAGATAGAGTCTCATCCGACTAGGCCGGCTGCCTCTTATCCTCGGCAAAAGAAGAAGATCTCGGCCCCCTAGCAGGAGATGTTTAGCTGACGGTTGCACGCCCGCCCATCGCTTGAAGGCAGGCAGATTACCCAGTTGCAGCAGAAAAAGACTGGGGGAGCCCCCTCTCCAATGCTTCCTTATCTTTGGGGCTAAGCTGCTCAAGAGAGAGTCCAAGAGGGGGATATTCAGCTAGGTTGTCGTGTCTTTCTTCCATAGAAGATTGCCCAATGCGGATAAATCCTGAGTAGGCCCCTTCTCTATGGATTAGATGAAGCAAGGAAGGAGACCAGACAACTAATATCATAAGTGAGGAAATGGCGCTTTCAGAGGCCCACTCCCCCGCTGCTTCCCGCTTACCTTTTCTCCTTAAGCCGGACCTTCAGGGACCTTGAGGCGAGCATCCATTACTTATGTAGCGCTTATTGGTCAAGACAGACAAGCTAAATGAATTCCATCCAGCTCAGCTTTTTAAGAAGCAGAATGCCACTTTAGCCCAGCCCCTATCCTAGGTCACTACCTAGGAAGATCCTTTCCCGCCCTTCTTTAATAGAAAGAGTCCCTTATAGTGGAAGTGCAGCATCATCCGCAAACTAGTACCTCAGCTGCTACTTGCCTCGATCCGCTAGTTATCTGGTTATTATGGCTTCCCAACTCTACTTCTCTTTATCCAGGCACACGTCGTCTCGCTCCTTCCCTGCCTAGCAAGAGCAAGTCAGAGTCAAGGTCAAGCCAGAGCTACACTTTCTCCCTAGCTGAAACGCCTACTCGAGCACACCTACCCTAGCACACCGCCCCTCGGCCTCCACTCCCTAGCTCACTGGCTCCTTAGCTCTAGCAAACTACTGCAAAAGCGGATTAGTCAGAGGCAGGTATAAGCTATTGATCTATATCACTTCTCAGGCATACTCAATCCGTCTCCTTCTCAATCGTAGTACCAGCAGCACACTCCAGCACCGACTCCTACCCTAGCATATCGCATATCCCTAGCTGACACTGCACACTTCCAAGTTGAGGTCGAGCTACTTCCCTTCCTAGCTAAATTGGCAACTTTAAAGCATAAAAGCATAATACTAGCTACACAGTATCGAAGCAACAAAGCAGCATAGCAGCATAAACCAGGAAAGCTGCAAAGCTGCGAGATCAGAAGCGAGGGCTGCAAAGCAGCGCAAGCAAACAACAACACTAAACCAGCTGCATACGACTGGTCAGCAACGAAGCGAGATGAGGGCATCGAGCGAGTGGTAGAGCAGCTATTCCCTTCCTGTGTTCTTGTATGCTTGCACTATAATAGAACTAGG